ATTATTATAAAATCTTTTAATACATTTTTTACTAAAGTTAAAACTTTTATTATATATTATTATTATAATATTTTTTTATGGAAATTTAAAGGTAATAATAACTTTTTATTAAAATTTATCTTATTATTATAAAGTTTTTACTTTTGTAGTAATTTAAAAATTTTTTACTTTGACTAGTACTTTCTTCCTTTTTTTCAATATTATAAACTAAATAATATAATCTTTACACTTTTAACTTTTTTATAACTTTAATGGGATTTTCACTTTTCTAATATTTTATATATTTTTAAATAACTTTAACTTTTAATATAAATTATTTATTTATATTTTATTATTTTTTATATAAAATATTAATAAATTTTTATCATCTTTATAATGTTTTTTATCAAATAAAAAATTATATTTATAATAACTTTAACTTTTGGTATGGATTGTTTATTTAAATTTTTTAAAAAGTTTTTCTTTTTATTGAAAAAAATATTTTTTATCTTTTATTTTTTTTTTTTTATTAAAAAATTAATACTTTTATAACTTTTTTTTAATATTTCTCAGTTCTTTTAAAAATATATAAATTTATAATAACTAACTATTTACATTTTTTATATTATTACATATGTTTATAATTTTTTTATAGATAAAAATATCCGTGACTTTTAACTTTTTATATATTTTTATTTTATTTATGTTTATAACTTTTTTAAAAATAAAAGTATTATATAAATTTATAAAAACTTTTAACTTTTTTATATAAATATTTTTTTTAATTATGTTTATAAATATAAATAATAAAAATATTATATAAATTATTAAAAAAAAATTATATTATTAAAATAAAAACTTGTATTATTTATCAAATAGAAAAATAAATTATTTTATGACATTTATGAACTCACACTCGTCTATAATATAATTTTTAATAACTTTTTACATTTTAATATATTTTTATTTTATTTATGTTTATAATGTTTTAATAAATAAAAATATTATAAATTTTAATAACTTCAACTTTTTATATACTACAATTTTAATTAAGTCTATAATTTTTTAATAGGTGTGCATTTGGAGTGAGTATTAGTATTGTTATAACCTGCATAAACCAGATAAAGTCACGTGGGTATCCGAAATTAAATGATTATTTTGTATATATATAAAAGCCCTCTTGAGGGTCAGGAAAAGCCTTTTTGGTTTGGCCCTGAGAGTGAGCGTATGGGCCGCTGTCCCGCCTGAAATAAAGCCTTTGTTTTATATCTTTTATTGATCACTAAGGTTTAACTGATACCACGTGGGAGGGTAACACAATATAAATAGCAGATTAATTTTCGATTTTTTTGAGCTTTCAACTTTTTAATATATTTTTTAGAGAGAGGAAAAAAAGTTATTGGATAAATAGCTTTTATCATATTTATATTTTTTTAATTTTACATGTTGCTTATTTTTTTAAAACAAATTTATAAATAAAAAAAATTATTATATAAATTTTTTATAACTTTTAACTTTTTTTTTAATTTTTTTTTTATAACTTAGAGCCTTCATTTTTTTAAATATATATTTAATAAATAAATAATATTGTATTATAAATTTTTAATAACTTTGATTTTTTTAAATGAGTGTTAACAATTATTAACTTTTTTTTTACACAAATATTTAAAAACTAACTTTATTTAATAAATATTAATAATTTATATTTGTACACCTTTATTATTTTACTTTTAACAAAGTTTTCTTTTAACTTCTTTACTTCATAATTATTAATATATAATAACTTTTTTATATTATTTTTTTATAACTTTTACCTTTTTCATATTTTTATAAGAAAACTTTTTATTTATATTTCTAATGTACAGTATTTTTTTTAAAATTTAATTAATAAATAATATCAAATTTTGCTATATAAATTATAATAAAAAAAAAGCCTTTTTACTGCAATGAATCGATAATTTTTTTTTTTTAATTTATTAAATGTTCTATTGGTTAATTTACTTTTGATTTTATTGGCCTTTTATTTACTAAAATTGTATTTATTTTTTATAATAATAACATTTAAACATTTTAATATTCTTACTATAAAACTTTTATAACTACTTTATACTTTGTATTATATTTATATATTTTTCTCAATTATTTAATATATTATATTTCATTTTTAGATAAAAATTATTATTCGTTTTACTTTATAAATATTATTTCTTTTTTTTATATTTTTATAACCAAAAACGTTATTTATTTTTTTAATTTTAAACATTTATATAATAAAACCTTATAATTTTTATTTTATTATTATATTTTTTTATATTACAATATGCTATTTTATAATAATAAATAATTTTCAACTCTACTTTATAAGTTTTTTATATATACTTTTTATATTATAATTAACTTTAACTTTTTTAATATAAAACTTTTATAACTAATTTATACTTAGTATTATAATTTATTTTTCTTTCATTATATTATTTTCTAAGTAGTATATAATTTTGCTTTATAAATTTTATTTCTTTATAATTACAAATAACTTCAGAATTATTTTATTACTATAATAAAACTTTTTATTACTAATATATATATTTTGTATTATTATTTATATATAATATTCTCTAATTGTACAAAATTTTAAATTTAAAAAAATAATAATCAGTTTTACTATATAAATTTATTAAGTTATAACATTTCTGTATTATTAAAATAAAACTCTATAACTCATATTTATTTCTTTTACTACGATATATTCTAAATATACAATATTATCTAAATAATAAGAAATAATCAGTTTACTATATAAATTTTCATAAACTTATTATTACTAAAACACCATTTATTTGTTTATTTTTCTCTAATTATATTTAAATTATAAATATACAGTTTTACTTTATAAATATCATTAAATTATTTTTATATATATAAACTTTACTAAGCTTTTATTAATAAATGTTTAATAACATTTAACTTTTTTATGATATAAGTTTATAAGTTTTGTATATCATTATAATATTTTTTCATAATTTTTTATTTTACATAAATAGAAACTTAATTATTTTAACTTTTATAAATTTTATATACCTTTTTGGTTATAGTAAATGTGAAGCTTCTGCTATTTATTATTGTAAAACTAATAATAACTTTATAAAATTTTTTTACTTTTTTTAATAACAATTATAACTTTTTTCTTTCATTATATAACTGGAAATATTAAACTTTTTCTTATTAATAATTTTTTTTAAAACTTTTGCTTTTATTTTATAAAAAACTACAAAACTTTAAAAAACTAGTAATTACTATAAAAAGTTTTCAAATGTATACTGGATACTGCTTAACCATTTATATCGTTCAGTTTATTGTCACCAGCAATGTTTTCTCTTGTTTAGGTTGGTTAAAACACTTTTTAAATTATGAGTCAAGTGACCAATCAAAGGATGTAGTAAAGCTTTAAGCACGCAATAAGATAATATTTTCCGGGGGACCGCTTTTAGTTAGTTTATTTAAGTGTATAAATTAACTCCACTCGCCCTAAGCTGCTCTCGGGTTGCGGGAGTAAAGCAATTTAATAAAGCAGTTTTACTCTTTCTTATATAACGCCCTAGTTATAGGCGCTACAGTTGAGCTTTAAGACTACCCGCTGAGGGAGCTAGAATTATTAATATGTTTTTTAAAAAACTTAAAAAAAATTTAATTCTGGTCACTCCAAAAAAATATACTTGCATCCTTCAGTTGTAAAAGGGAAAAAAGCTAAATATGTACATCTTCACGAGTTGTTTTCACTAAAATAGCGTATCTCCAAAATGTCTTCTCGACCGACCTTTGTGGGCTCGAAATAGTTCCAAACACTTTTCTTGTTGGTTGGAAGAGTCTTTCGTTGAGGAATAATAATATTAATAATAGTAATAATTATTGGTAATAATTATAATTATAATTTTAAGAACAGTAATAATAAAAAGTTACTTAATAAACGCAATTGTTATTATAATAATAGTAATAATAATAATGATAATGATAGATAATAAAATAATAATAATAATAATAAATTAAACAGATGAATAACACAGCTTATAGCTATAAATATCATTATACATATTACTTTATAAAAGTCTAATAAATCTTTTTAAGACTAGCTAATAATATTTATATTGTTTATCTTTTTAGTATTTTTTTTATTTTCAATAATTATATTTATTATTATTACTGCTCTTACTACTATAACAATTATATTATTGCATATTATTGGACAATATACTTCAATAAAATCATATAAATACTTCAGTAGGGTTAACTAAAGTTACCATATTATCATAATTATTATTACTACTACAGTGAACTGCTATATCTAGGTAGCTATATATATGCCGGTACCAGTTAAATATGCTATAAATCCAATTTGGAATGTTTGCGCGCATTCATTATTAACTGGCATGCTTCAGGCATGATTCTTGCTTGTCTGTTCCTCCGGTTACCCTCTGCTAAGTTAGGGAGCGGAAGCTGCATTTTCTTAACGATTCGTTGCGCTATATACAAGAACGAGTGCGCTTTATCTTCACATTTAAATAGTAAACTTACCAAGAAAGAAGCAAAAGCAAAAAAAAAAACAATTAAAAATTTTATATTAAAAATTTCAGTGGACATAGATTAGCCCAGTATACTATAGCCTTAGTCATGCCCTCCTCAAACACGTCTAAGAATTGTTTCGGCCTCGATTACTTGGTTGACTAGTGAGAGGTTGAAGCAATAGCCCGTCTCATTAAATTGTTATGGTGACTACGATGTCTAACGTCAGCACTAACTCTTAGTTATGTATGCCCCCCATTCTTTACTTGTTAACTTACACCCAAAAAGTTAAAATAACAAAAACTACTATGTATAATTTTCCACTAATTTTAACTTAACAACTAAAAACAAATTTTTTAATAAAATATTTAAAATTAACAGAATAATATTATATATATTTAAAAAATAATGATATAAATGTTTGAAGTTAAAGAAATTTATTATTGCGTTTGCAAATGGCCAATTCAACGATAAAATTCAAATTCCTTATCATTTCTTGTCACAATGGTTCTGTAACCTTTTTCAAAATCTTTTGGAAGTATGACGTATCGGTTTTTCCTAACTGCCTGCATTCCGGCCTCCTGACAAATCATCGCAATTTCAGCGGCGCTTATTTTATCAGGTCTTGCAACAACTATAAATAAAAAATATTACACCCATTAAACTTTATATTATGAAGTAAAAGTAATATATAGAATGAAAGCTACAAAGTAATAATTTTTAGGTCATTAAAGTAAAAGATTTAAAACTTTAAAGACTGAAGCTTAAAAAACTTAACAATGTTTAAGCGTTAACGACAATAAAAATATTTTAGGTGCCATAACAAGAAATCACATTTGAAAGGGGGTGTAAGTTGATTGAAAAAAACCAATTTTCACCTTTCTAGCTTATAATAAAAACCTCGTTATTTACAAATAACAATATGATTCTGGGGAAAAAAAGGTCAAAGCTAGAAATTCTCAAAACGAACAATGTCTACGTAAAAAGCTAGAAGAAAATAATTATAAAAGTTAAATATACTTTCTAATACTAAAATTAGATTAAAAAACAGTCAACTTTTCTCCACGCGCAAATGTTAATTGTTTTTTATGAATACAATTAATTTAATGAGCAGTAAAACCCAAAAAATTTGCTAACCTTTATGATTCCGCAAATCCATTTTTAAAATTATGTAATTCATAAATAATACTTTTTTTAAACACATAGTAAACCACAAAATTTTAAAGCAAAAAATAAAAAATAAAAAATAAAAAATAAAAAATTTAATAGTGAAAGAGTAAGATCTTAAATTAAAATAACTAGATAATAGTAAAAAGAATTTTGTTCAATAATTAAAAAGATATTTAATATTAGATTATCGTATGTCTTAATTAGTATTTTATAAAAACTACTATAAACCTAATACTAAAAACTGAAAAGCTATTAATAAATTTTATAATTAAATTAATAATGGTTAAAAACAATACTTCGACCACAAATAAAGTAATAATTGTACATATAAAATAAACTTCAATAAATAATTTTGTAGTATAACATGTAGAAGTGGAACAATTATGTTAGATAGGCAAATCTATAAATACAAAAAGCAATAGTAAAAAATGGTATTTTAATAATCAAGGAGGGGTATCCTATACTTTATTTATAAGGAACAAGTTATAAAGAATTTGTATAATTTTTCTACAAATGATTTCTCCGATAATTAATAGAGCGAGATAATTGTAACTGCTGTGTTAGTGATCTATATATAGAGGACAGAAAACTAAAAGAGGAGGGCGATAAGAGTAGTAAGAAAACTGGTGGGAAGTTTATTTTTTTCGTGCAGTAAAAATAAAGAAACCCCAATTTTTTAGGTAATACTAGAAACGCATATATAATTGTGATAAATGCGAAGGACGAACAGTCTTCAAGATCCACTTCTTCACTAAGATTCATTTTGCTGCAGATTGTTTGAAAAATGAGTCGCTTTTGCCGCCGGTCAGGAAGAGGAAACTCGATTTTTCTGTCGAGCCGGCCAGGACGAAGCAAGGCTGGATCAAGAGTATCTGCTCGGTTGGTCGCCATGATGACCTTTAAATAATAAATTTAATAATTATGTAGATAACATAAACTCTCTAAACCTTAACAGAGTGAATCTGTTCGAAGCCATCTAGCTGATTTAAAAGTTCTAGTAAAATTCGCTGAACTTCTCGGTCCGCACCCGTCTATAATCAGTTAGTAATAACAATAACAACAACAATACTAATTATAATAATGATAATAATAATAAACCTGAGCGTCAAAGCGCTTAGTAGCGATGGCATCTATTTCATCGATGAAAACTATAGAAGGCGCATTCTCCTTGGCCAAGCGAAAAACATCACGAACCATACGGGGCCCCTCACCCAAGTATTTTTGCACAAATTCAGAGCCTTTAATTATATCAATTTATAAAAGTTTTAATGAATCAAAAGGAATTCGAAATTTCATATAAGAATATAATAAGTAGTATATGAAATAATTATTTTAAAATTATAAACTAAACAAATATTGATAACAATAAATTTAACAATAGCTACCAACAACCCGAATGAACGAAGCCGTTGTGTGATGGGCGACGGCTTTCGCAAGCATCGTCTTACCAGTCCCCGGGGGCCCGTACATAAGCACGCCGCGTGGTGGATCAATGCCTTAAAAGAATTATAAACAAAAGCAGTAGTAACGCTTAAAATGGTATCTTAAGTTTAATCAAATAAAATATATATAGCCTTTAAATATAATAGAAAAGAGTAAAAAAAAAAAAGGGAAACCAGTTAAAAAATATTAGGATTAAAAAATAATAAATTAACACGCACTCAAGTTCTAATAGACAAAAAAAGATTAACGCGCTAATAGAGGAATGTTAAAATTAATAAAGAATTAATTGTTGGTAAATGTTTTATTTAAAATTAGATTACGATTATAGACTTACTAAAATAAAACTGGCAAGAGTTTACGTTTAGAATATAATCATAATAAAAACGACCACACGGAGGAAAGTAGGAGGCAGATAAAAGATTAAATAAAATATAAAAAAACTAAAATAAAAATTAACAAAGTTATTTATAATAACGTATATTTATAAAAAATAATTTAAATATAAGGAAAAACTTAGACTTTTTATTATTTTAATAAAAACTATAATAATAATTACAATATTACGACTTTCATATATATAAAAAATTTTTAATCAAATAAAAATTTTAAAGCACCAACGATATTTTAAAACAAAATAATCAAATAATAAAACTAAATATATTATAATATAAAAAATTTTAGAACGTAATAGAACGTTTCAGTAATAATTATATAAATATATAAAAAATATTACAATACTAAAAAATAATATTTTTAACGGATAACATAAAAAAATATATAATTGAAAATTATAGAATAAACTTAAAATCTTTTTTAAATATTAACTATTTGAAATTACCGCACGAAGTTATAGTATTAAAAATTCGACATGAATAAAAAAAAATATTAAAAAGCGTTGACACCTTAAAAAATTTTATCTAAGTTAAATAACAAAATCATTCAATTAAAAATATTGCAAAAGTTATATAAGTTTAATAGAAACAAAAACAAACATTATAAAAGTTATTTAAAATAAAGAACTATGCCTAAAAAAATAATCAAAATAGTATATAAAAAACCAGGGCGTAAATAAAAAACTAAAATCTAAGTATGAGTTTTTCAATAATAAGCATATTATTAATACCAATTTACATATAATAGTAACAAATAAAAATTGTTTTACAATAATATTAAGAAAAAATATTAACTTAAAGCAAAATCCAGTATAAAAAATATCTTTTAAAAAAAAAGGCAAAACCAATTTGTTTATATAAATCGTGATGAGTCAAAGGCAATTCCACAGCCTCTCTAATTTCTTGTTTTTGAGAGTCCAACCCGCCGATATCCGAATATGTTACATTAGGCCGCTCATCAGATCTTTAATTATAACAGTGATAATAAATAATACACAAGAAAATTATCAAAATATTAAAATAATATAAAAGACTTTATTTTACATAAACTTATTATAGAAAAACAAAAGTAATAAAAATTTATGTAAAAAATATATTTTTTTCAAATAATCATATAAAAATCCTAAAGTAACTTTGGTAGTATTATTTTTAAATTACTTAAGTATGAATAAAAAATTATAAAAAAAACTTCATCATTGTAATTAATGAATCCGCTTCAGGAGGAAGAATGTCCACTAAAGCATTGGAATGTTTATGTAAGGCAACGGAGGAATTAGGTTTCAACAATTCTCTATCCAGAGTAGACAAAATTTTGACATAATAATTGGAACCTGTTGTTGATCTTTATTTAAAAAAACAGTAAGTAAAAGAGATTAAATTAAAAATAAAAGTTTAAAAACTTACCCCACGATACCTGAATTTTGATCAACCGCTTCTAAAAACTGTCCAATAACTAAAGGTACGGATTGGATTCTTTTCACCTAAAAAAAGGAGTAAAATTACATAAATGATAAAAAATTTAAAAAAAACTTCTTCTTGTGCACGAAGAAACTCCCGTTTTAAATGTTTTTGTTCATCTTTAATATACTCTTCTTGGAGAGTTAAAAAGTCTAATTGCTGCTGCAACTTTTTAGCCCTAGTATAAAGGTCACCAACTCCAGAAGACATCGAAGTACCAAAGCCAAGTCCTGTGCACACTCCAGCCATATTTTAAACTGTCAACAAAAATAAAACGTATAAACATAGTGAAAAGCTCCGATAAGTTTTTTTATTTTAAAAGTGTTATGATCCTTATAAATACCAAAAATAATATTTACTATGAAAAATTAAATATATTAGTAAACACAAATGTAAGTGGTAATAATAAAACTCATAGAACGGAAATTCGAGGGAGTAGAGCGCCGAGTTTACGTAGGCAACAGAAGTCTCGGTAAAGGAAAAGGCATTTCATTAACCTCCAACGTGCTCAGTGAAATATAAAAGTTAAAATGTGAACGGGTTATCGGCCTATTTGTTTTCTTACTGTCTTGTCGATTTTTGGTCTGGTAGCCTATTAGGTTTGAGTTTCTGTACCTGCCATTATTATTAATATACTTTTCTTTACCAACTTTTGTTGTGTTCATTATATTATTATCTTTATCTTTTTATATGGTTATTTTTCCACAGTGCTGTTTTTTTTATATTATTTTGTCTGACTTTACTATGTTATATTTATAAGAATTATTAATGGGACGCGTTATTCGTGCTCAGCGCAAAGGCGCCGGCGGTATTTTCAAGTCTCATACTAAACATCGCAAAGGACCAGCCAAAATTCGTACTTTGGATTATTCGGAAAGGCACGGCTACATTAAAGGTATTATTTAAGCCTTACTCGCTGTAGCTTTTAACTGAGCTCTTAATTTTATATTTATGAAGGTCTTGTGAAAGAGATTCTGCATGATCCTGGTAGAGGCGCCCCACTAGCTAAGGTCGTATTTCGTGATCCTTATCGATACAAATTAAGAACGGAATTATTTATAGCCGCGGAAGGTTTGTTAATTTTTAATTTTATTTTTTGTCTACTTTATTTTCTGGCTCTAGGAATTTATACTGGACAGTTTATATACTGCGGAAAGAAGGCTAACTTAAGCGTTGGCAACGTTCTTCCCGTTGGAGAAATGCCAGAAGGCACCATAGTTTGTAATGTAGAGGAAAAGAAGGGTGACCGCGGATCTTTAGCTAGAACTTCCGGGAACTTTTGCACTGTTGTAGCTCATAACAAAGACACAAAGAAGACGAAGATTTCCTTACCGTCTGGCGCAAAGAAAATCATTCCCTCCGGTAACCGCGCTATAGTCGGCATCGTAGCAGGAGGCGGGCGCCTGGACAAGCCCTTACTAAAGGCCGGAAATGCCTACTACAAGTACAAAGCTAAGAGAAACTGCTGGCCGCGTGTACGAGGCGTTGCCATGAATCCCGTCGAGCATCCACACGGGGGTGGTAACCACCAACACATCGGACATCCCTCGACAGTTCGTCGGGACGCCCCACCAGGCCGAAAAGTCGGACTTATCGCTGCCCGCCGCACTGGCCGAATACGGGGCGGTCAGCGGTCAGTGCAGAAAGACGTCTAAATTTATAATAAATAGTATGTGTATATGCTATGCAGTTTTGGGTTTTTTTTAAATTTATTATATTTAAGTATTACAAGCGTTGTAATATAACTGGTGTCTATATTAATAAAATTAGAAGTCGGTTCAGAAGAATCTTCTAAACTGTAGAATTGTATTTATTCGCTGGTGTCTATTTATATCAATAAATTTATAAGGCGGTAAAGATGAAACTTTAAGAAAATATTCTATAATTTGTAGAAGTACGCTATTTGCTCCTTTTACGTGTGGTTTTCTTTTTAGTACTTTTCTTTTTTTTAAGAGATTTCACAGGAATTTTTGAAGGTGATGCTGTTCGCTTAGCATTTCTGTGGATACCGCGCGCACCCTTAAAGGCTGGTAACGCCAACGTTAAGAAAAAATTAGTGAAGGTATAAGAAAATGGCGCCTTTTTAACACAAAAATTTCATAAGTTTTTACGGAAGACTTGAAGGCGCTAAATATATATATCTATATATAAACCAGTTCTTCTTCCACAGGCTTCAAATATTTCTGCATCGGTGAACTTGGAAGAGTAATCAGTTCTTTCGTTTACCTCTTTTTATTATAAGTATGGATTTAAAATAAACGCACTAAATTGTGTTTACTAAATGGTTTTATAACTTAAATTCGGAACAATAAGTAACAGATGTCTCACTAATTAATATTCAAAAAATTAGTAGATTAACTTTTATTGCAACGCTAAAACAACTTTTAACATTAAAATAGATTAGGTTAATAAAATGTTGACCATAACGCGTTATCAACTAATGATTTTGATTACTGACTTACCCATCTACATTAATGCTTAAATTATTAGTAAAAATAACATTATTTTTGCTATAATTGGCCAAACAGTATTCGAAGCTAACATAAAAATTTTTTAATTAGAAAACAAAGTAATTTAAAATTTTATGTACACCGTGCAACAAAAGACACATTACTGAACAAGCTAAAAAAAAAAACACAAATTGGGTATTGGGAAATCTTCAGTAAAATAAAAGTTTCGAAAAATTGGTCAGACGAAGAGTCGTGCAGTTATAAAATAAACACTTTACCTATAAATATATATATATATATATACAAACACTATAAGCGGGTAACACACAGCAAAACTATAGGAAGGTAAAAGGACTTTGGCTCATATAAAAGGTTCTAAACCACTACTAAGCATGAACTTAACTTTGAAGTATATTAATTTAAATTATTTTTTTTACAGTTTGCTAAAAAAGTCTACAAATAAGAAACAAAGATATAGATGTCAGAGGTAAGTTATGAAAACATAATAGCGCTTTTAAAATTATAATAAAAGCTTAAAATTTTATAACAATAAACATATAAAGGAAGGTATGTTCTTCATAAGAGATTATAAAAACTTAGCCTAAATTAACTTTTATTAAATAAACTAGAAGCTGATATATATAAATATAATTATACTTCCTTCTACATATAGCCTGTAATTTCTTGTGCATTAAGTAACGAGTATACTTAAAAGTTATTGAATGCAAATTTTAAATATTTAATAATAAAATTTACATAAAATGCATCCTGAGTTATTTAAAAAAAAGTTATCATAAAAATCTATTGCTGCCTTTTTTGAAAAAAAGAATTAAGCATACTTGAAACGCTCACGAAATTCTTGCAAAAATAGTCAGAGTCAATACTTTGTTTCCTATCTTCTGCTTTATAATTCTCTTTAATAATTTCTATCTTAATTAAAAATTTTTAGGAGAAGTTAATAAATGACTAAGCATACCAAGTGTTTACTCTATTAGCTTTAATATAATAATGTAATATTTAAAGTAAACACTTATAATAAGCTTTTATTATAAGAAAGTGTAATAACCAAAAAATATATATATTAATAATATAAGAATTATTTTTCAGTTAAATAAATCGTATAAATAACTCTAAGTTTTTTAGAATTCCTAAATAAAACATGAAACTTCACAAAATATTTTAAGTTTTTAATTTAGAAAAAAAATTAAACTATAAATAAATAAATTATTTAAAACAAACATTTCCTTTATGGTTATTAGTAACAACAAGTTTACTGGCGGTTTCATTATAGCAGTGATCCCACCAGGCAAAGCAATGGTCGTCACTAGAACCAATCTTAGAATTAATAAATATTTTTAAGAAAACGAAATTTAAAAGACTTATTTCAAGAAAAGTTAAAAATAAAAAGAAATAAAATTTCTAATTAAATAAATGTGTTAAGATGAATAAATTAAATTTAAAAGGTATTTACCCTTAACACGTAGTTCCTAACTTTTTAAAGTTAACTAGAAATTAAAAAAACAAACAGCGTAAACTAACAAGCTCAACAAAGTATTTTATTCCATCTGACTTTTTACAATTGAAAGTTTAGATGTAGACAATGATATTAAAAATATAAAACTATTTTAATGCAAAACATAAAGTTCTTAAGGAACTTATATAATATTCTTAAAAATTCAAATAAGAATCCGAAGAAAAAATTAACCCCCAATAGATCTTGTTTTTGAGCAACTTTAATATATTTCTTTATTCCCTGTTTACGTTTGCCTAGTCCTTCACCCCTATAAAAAACAAGTCAAACGGATATATTGGGAAAGTCTACAATTAGTAAGGTGTTTTAGTTTTTTTAACTTGCTAAACAAAATTTTACTATATTTATAATCTCAACTGTTATAATAATAGGGGGAAAAAATTCTTTAATAAATAATTATTTGTTATAAGAATATAAATTACGTGAACCAACATAAATATATATTATATTACTCTTTCCACCCAAACTTTTTTAACTGAGAAAGAGCAAAAGACGACATAAAGTTACTAAAGACTTAATTAAGTTCTTTAAAGATAGTATATAGTCAAACTAAGTGAGAAATAGCAAATAATTTAAAATAAGGTCATTCGTCAAAATAAAAGCCTAACTAAAAAGATATAAACCTAAAAAACGTTTAGCTAACACCTGCAAGCCACAAGCCTATAATTAAAGCAATTGCTAAAACGATGGCCCACCACCACAAACAGCCCTTTTTTTTGACAAACATTTTTTTTTAATTTTTTTAACTGACACTTCCAAACGGCTTTTATTATTTAGGCTGGCCGGCTGGATAAAGGGAAATACTTCCCTTCCACTCGATAATCGAAATGCGGAAGTGTTTAAGAATATAAAGAACCTTACTTTAAAATTTATTAAAATTTATGGCCAACTATTTCTCGTCTCGTCATAATACTTTAACCTTTCGCTCTTGCTCTTTTATTTTTTAAGTTAAAAGCACTAAGTGCTACCCAGCAGAGTATGTTAATATGAGCACAATGGGGAGAAGCATTCTCTTTTGAACTGGAAAACAGCATTAGCAGAGTTAAAAAAGAAGTATATATTGTTAGAAACAATAACTACACAAAAAATAAAAACTTTATAACTACTACTCGAAATTGGTAAAAACTTTATTACATAAATTGGATTCTCTCGTTAGCTTGTATATCCCCACCGTATAAAATATTAGTCACCCTTATCTAATGAAGAACGTTAACATAGAGTTTGTGTTGTAAATGATATTTTTAAGGTTAACAGTCATAGTGTAAAACTTTATTTAGGAAGTTGGCGTGCTACAGTCATTGATACGTCCTTTTTAATACTAAATCCTTATTTTTTCGTAAAAAACGACCGAGAGAAGAGTTCAGCAAAAGAAAAGGTAAACCTTTATGGTAATCTAATAACTCTCTTATAGTAAGGAACGGGTTCTTTGGCGTATTGTCAGTGGAAAGAATTTTCACAAAGCTTACTCGGTAGCTATCATTCGCTTAGAAATAAAGGAAACAAAGGAAAACCGCTTTTTGTTGTCGTTCTGATTTAAATACCAGGTGGTGCCCTTCGGCCTAACTAATGCGCCAGCTGCATTTTAACACTATAAACGATACCCTTTAAGGGTTCTGTACAAGTGTTGTCATTTATCTTCATATTTCTAGCAAATAGTGCGGAGTTTGATGTCAATGCTGGCAACTTTTCGTGTCTTAGGAAGTAATATAATCCAATAAATATTCTATTGCCGTGGAGAAAGTCATTTTTTGTTACATAATACCTTCGAAAGTAGTAACAAGGATGAAAACCTGCCTAATCAAAATGTGCTAGGAAATGGTCCACATCCATGTCAAATAAGCAGGTTTAACAATTTTTTTATTTGCAAACTTTTATAGACGTTTCACTAAGAAATACTTTGTTTATATTATTCAAGAAAAACTTAAGGTTACTTGGGAAGCAGAGGAGACTTCAAATTCGTAGTTTTAGGGAATTCTACTTCCCCGCCCGAGATTGAACATTTTAATGCAAACCGAGGCGGACACAGGTGTTACGCTTACGAATATTCTGCACCCTGTACACTTTCTGTCAAAACAGTTTATTAAACAGCAGTTAAGTTAACCACAAACATTAGAATAGCTACTTGAGTGGTGTTACGTTATTTAAATCTACGATTAAAAAAAGACCCTCAACCTGCCTAAAGCCAGGCCGAGGGTAATTATTTGAGCCTAGTGCTATTGTAGTAAGGCCATCGACTCTAGGCTGTATAAAGTTAACTTGTAATGACCAAAAGCTAAGCAAATTAATTATGCATAGAACTTAAAGGGGCAATCTAATGTGTTTACCCTTCATATTTAACCCATTACGAAAAGTCTCAAGCAAATATGGCAAATCATTCTAAGTGTGTATACCCGACCACTCAAGACTGTTATCGTTAATGAGATTTAATTTATTGCGTTATTGCGTACTAATTAAAATTATTGAGAAAAGGAGAGATATTCTTCAATCTTATATTATATTCCTAACGAAACAAGCAAGCACTGTACTTGCAGTACCCTTTTTTGTCACGTAGGTCCTCCTCTTCAAAGTTTTAAATGATAAATCAAGAGTTATGCATAGTCGCCTTCCTACTTTAAAGGATTAAAAGCCTATTTATGCGCTTTTACATATTCAGTGGTTTAAACCGAGCAGCTTTTTTCGTAAGTAAATCCTTTATATCTCCAAAGTCTAAGAAATCATAGAAATATTTACTATACACCAAAATTATTAGCCAATTTGGACAATCTCAGCCAATCATCATACCAAAGATAAATGTTTGGGTTTTTTTTTTATAATTTAACAGTACTGCATAAAAAATAAGGCAGTGTAGTTAATGAAAAAGAAAAGAATTCAAACAAATAGTGAATTTGTAAATAACTTAAAAAAATGGAGGTATATAAAGTAGAGATATGAAGAATTAAAGTAGACAATAATGACTATAATCAAATAGATAAAGGTCTGATAGTAAGAGGAAAAAAGACAAAAGTAAGTAGGTTACTTCAGATATAACAACCCGAATATGGAATGGCTGCTTAATATTTGGTTTAAAACCGGTATATGTATCAGGATATCTAGCCTCTCGTCAAAAAAAATTGGTTAAAATTTATAAGTTTTTTTTCAAAAAAAAAGTTTTTGAGTAACTTTATTGTATAAGTTTGAAGATGACCTATAAGAAGCCAAATAATGAGTTTTTAGACCCCGGAACCGTAGTGAATTTATACAAAGCTACTGTATCTTAAGATGGCCTTAAGGGTTGTTTAAGATTTGAAAGCTGTGGGTAACTAAAAAGACATTCAATGATGTATCTTAAGTTCACTCCTCTTGCTCTGTAATAATTATTAAAATTACAGTAGAGGTCTAGAACACAAGGAATGGCTGCAATCCCTACACAATATTACAAGCTGGATTTCTATTTTTAATTGAAAAAGCACACCAAGAACAAAGGAAAGCGTTAAGGATTAAAGCTATAAAAACTGAGAACTCACCATGACCGCGTGCATAAGAAAAATAATTTTATTTTAAAATTTTTTTAGTAAAACTACTTAATAATCTACTTAAATAACTTATACTATAAAATTCCCAACCTTTAATAAAAAGTTTTTTCTTATTAATAAAAAAATAGATTTATAATTTTCTTTAGGAGAAAGATTAAGTATTTTGCAAAGTTCAAATTAAATTAAGTACTACTAAATTAATTTATTATAAAATTTTTATTTTTAGTTATAAGACGTTACCTTTTAGTAGTTTAAAGCAGCTAGTATAACTTTAAGAATAAAAAATTAAAAAGTGGTTTTGAGTATATATAAAAAAAGGTTGTAATTTCTAATAACTTAAGTACTAAATAAATACAATTAATTTACAATAAATTCTCCAAAATAAAGATATGACCCATTTTTATATATGATCCAAAAACAAGAAATACAATAGTCTTTAAGCCTAAAACACAGTTTTCAGTTTCCATTTAACAATCATTTATGGTTATGATCCTCTTTATCAGCTAAAATTACGCCGCAAGTGTAGCAAAATAAAGTTCCTACAGAGTTAATAGGAGAAGTCGACTCTCAGTAATAAATAAAAAAGGTTGTAAGCAGAATGAAGTAAATACCACAAATGCAACGAACTCTGTCACAACCATCAGCCTTTTCAATAGGGCTTCTACAATTTGGGCAGGGCTTCGTAAATATTTTGAGCCAGATTTCAATGTTTTCTAATTTTTTTTGTAAAGGAAAGCTATAAGCTGCTTAAGATTCTTTTATTGTAACTAACAAATAGATAAAAACCATCAACGGCGGGGGGTGCCATTTAGAAAAAGGTTTACGACTAGTTATATAAGTTTATATAAAAGTTTAGTGGGGATAAAACAAATAAACTTATATAAAAGCTCGTCAAGGTTAGAGTAATATTAGATAAAATTTATAAAACTAGAACTAATATATATGTAGACTTTGAGTAAAAGGTTTTACATGTTAAGTATGAGGAATCGAGGGCTGCACGTGCCTATATTAATGCAGACCATGCATGCGCCGCTCCAATTTTTTAACTCATTTTCTCTGAGGTCGCTTTGGTGCTCATAGAGAGCCCAAAATTATCAAATAAATTTCTAGTGCTTTTAGTTCTTCTATTTAATATTTAGATATTCCGTTAAATTCTATAGTATATCTTATTATTATATTATATAACATTGCCTAATATTTATTCTCGAGGGGTTCCGACTGTGAATCCACACATTATCACTAAAAATTTGATACGGTACACCAGGTGTTATTAAAAATATTGTGAAAAGTGGTTATATCCAAATGTTTCATAAGTTTTTTTGCAACTTTTGGCGTTTTGATAAATATTTATTAAAATGAGAAAATTCGTGTTTAGATTTCATATTAATATTATCTGAAAACTAATTATGAGGTGAAGGTATTAATTATGATTATAGGGGGGAGCAAATCAAGCGTATACAAAAATTTCGTCTTTCCCTATTCTATTTAACCCTGTTTTATTATATTTTGTTTTTCACACTCATGTGTTAAATATTCCATAAAAAATTATTAATTACCTTTTTTATAACTATTTTTCTTATGGTCAGCAGATTTTAATATTTAATAAAAGTGGCGTTACCTCTACAGTTCATTAGTAACCCTTTAAATTTACGTACTTAACTAAAAAAAATTTTCTAAGAGCTCTAAGCAAACTAAATAGATATTCGTAAGGAGCAATATAGTTTAGAAAAACTTCGCTTCTTTAAGGTGCGGTATAAAATATACATACAAACTGTCTTTATGGTCGAGCATCTGATAAAAGTAAAAAAGTTAAGGTGCTGGAAGGATCGTGCTAATTGAATGAAAGGCCATATTAGTTGCGAAACTAATCGTTTAATTATTTGGATTCAAAATAAGGAATAACCGCTGCGTGATTGTTATTCCCTGGTTAGTGCTACTAGCACGTGCATATGAAGTTTTTAAGTAATGAATGTTACGTTATCTTCCGACAATCTCTCAATTGTTTTATTATTAAGATGTATGGCCTTTTATAATTTGAGCACTTTGTTGTAGCTTACTCGAGAATTCCAGTCCTCTTGTAGGGATTACTGGTAATAAATTGTAGCGCTTTTGGACTTTGTGCTACTTGAATCTGTGTGCTGCCTAAGTGTAAATTCACGCTTCAGCAGCATAGTCTTAATTGCTCTTAGCGACAATTTGTAAGTAGGCTTTTTCTTTCTTTCTTTTTTTTGGTTTTTAGGATTAAGACATTGTATAGAGCTCCGGTTTAAATATGTCGTCTACTATTTAACCTAATTATTTGGCTTGTCAAACTTATGCAATAGCTGTATTATATAGTTTTAAGTTCCCAGCGGTTTACGTTTACGTGTACAACAAATAAGCATTGCTGTGGTTATACGGGTATGCAACAAACCTATACATTTCTCTGAGTAAAGAAAAATAAGCCTGTAAGTGTCCAATTATAGGATATACTGTTTTATAACTTCAATGAAAGCGGTGTCGTCAACGTATCAATCATTTGGCCTTGTTAGAGAGATTAAGCTCTGCCTTGGATTTCTAAAACAATAATGATAAAAACAGAGATCTTTGCCGTTAAAGGCTTTTTTAAAAGTATTATAATTTTTTTTTTTTTATTTAACCCTTACTTTACCTTGCCTTTATTTTTTAACTTTTGCGAATGCTTAGTACTTCGAGCTCAGACCACTTATTTTTGATTTGGGTGGAGCGGGCATCCATAAATCTCCCCATAGGAGTATTATGGCCGGATCGAAAAACTGAAGGACGTGACCTTTATCTTTATTATATTTTTGTGCACTTGTTTATG